CGCGAGAAGAAACATTTTGTGGTTCCAGAGGGGCGCGGGAGGGGTCGGGGAAGAGAAGTAAACGGAGGGTTCAAAAAAAGAGCTTTGAGTCAAACAATAGCTTACTAAATCTCTTGTTTTGATCTCACTCGTTGTGCGTCGTTTTCTATTACGTTTTGCGTTTGTTTGCTCGAATGACGTGGGGAAGAGAAAAATAAACCTGTAGGGTATTGCGGAGATTTCATAATGGCAGGAGAAGGAGTTGTATATTCGACTTTGCGTCATTTGGGGGAGGAGGCGGCACGCGGATTTCAGTGGCGTCCAGAGCCAGCCTCATCACCCCTGGGCAGCTGCAGGAGCATCACTGGGTATTGTCGTGCAAGCCTCTCCCCAATGCCATCTCCAGCTGAGGAGTTGGGATTATTGACAAAGAGCTTTCTTACAGACTTAGATCTCTATATAAGATAACACTTTGCTTCAGATGTGTAAAAATAGGACAGTCCCCTAAAAAAGAGAGGTGTGCCTCTCCCATGCTTTGATGCTGTTTTAGCTGCAGCAACCAGAATCTTTGTTCACATTTGCACCTACAACACCCTTAATTTTTAAGGGATCCCATAGATGATTATTCAGAAATAACCCTCCCCATGCTGATTCTCCCCACGTATATTGGACTCAACATGGGAATTCTGGGAGTTGAAATCCAACACCCAGAGTGCAGCAGTTGGGGAGAGCTGCTCAAAAAGAACTCATCAAACACATTTTGGCTTATTTATTTATTTATTTATATGTTTGATTGATTCATATCCTGCCTTTTGTACAGGAGCTCAAGGCAGTGTTCATAGTGCTCCTTATACCTTGCAGCTTTGTATTGCTGTCACATTTGACACACAACTCTTGTAATCTGAAGTTTTGTAAACACACATTTGGGACTGTGGCCCACTGAGATTGTTGGGTCTTTCTCCCAGAGTTGTACAATATGAAACTGCAAGTCAAAAATATTAAACACACATTCATGGCTCTAAACAGATGGAAGTACCAAGAAAACTAGGGAGAGTTTTTCAGTAAACACCTTTGTCCTAAGACAGATGCTTTGCTTCAAGATTATACAGAAAAGTAGTGGCAAAGAAAGAACCCGTTCCTATCAATACCCTCCCTAACAATATTATCTGTTCAAGAGAGACTACCAATGATAGTTAACCTTCTTAAAATAAAAACCGATACAATCCATCAATCTAAACATAATGTGTCAGCATAAAATAAAACCATCTGGTGAACAAGACAGAACATTCAGTTGAGAAAGATGCATGAAAAGATGCATGGAAATATTGGCCTCCCTATTAAGGGTAGGAAGTTTAAACACATTTTGTCTATTTTTGTTTACTAAATGCATGTCTGTTTGGAAGTGAGTTTACCTTCAGAGGTTTTCATTGTAGAAGTTGCCCATGTAAAGAAGATTGCACATTTTGGTAGAAAGGTATAAAAACAAAGATGTGAGATCTCTTCTCTTTGCAGTGATAGACAGTAGAAATATTAACAGCATCTAACAGGCACAATGTGAATGGAAAACGTTTCGCCTACAAATGTGTTTGCTAGATCATAATATCTTGTGCCTATATGCAAGTTAGGAATTCAGGGAACTGAGGTCTCAGTACATCTGGAGGGCATCAAACTGGGGAAGAATGACATAGCTCCTAAAGCGATGTGACAATGCCTAATTTTGAGTCACTTCATTTTCCAACAGAACTAAAGTTTATCCCAAAGGGAAAACCCTGACAAACAAACAAGAAAACTTCCTTTGTGGGAATGAGGTAAGCTCAGACCAAATAGATTCCTCTGTTGGATTGCTTTGCATATCTGCTTTTCAGAAATTAAAACATTATTTGTGTTTCTAATGCCTAGAAGAAAAACGTGGTGTTGTCAACATTTAAATATTTAGAAATGTTACTGCTACTTGGCTTGCTGTATAGAGGTATTTTGACTGAATTGCTAAACCACAATGTATACATCATTTATATAGATATAGATATAGATATAGATATAGATATAGATATGGATATATAGTCAGTCATCTCTCTCTCTCTCTCTCTCTCTCTCTCTCTCTCTCTCTCTCTCTCTCTCTCTCTCTCTCTCTCTCTCTC